TTTATTTATTTTATTGAAGTATAGTCCCTTTACAATGCTGTGTTAATTTCTAGTGTACAGCACAGTGATTCAGTTATACATACATATATATTCCTTTTCATTATAGGCCATTACAAGGTATTGAATATAGTTCCCACTACCATATAGTAGGCCTATTGTCTAAAAACAAACGTTTAGACATTGTTCAATAATGTTCTATGAGGGATTGGAAGGAAAAGGAGGAAAAAAAGAGAACAAACAACCACAATACAAGCAAGATGAAGTATTCTATCCTCCAAGCAAAGTGTGAAATCCAACCTGGCAGATGGAATACACTCATTTAGGGTAAGTCTCAAGACCATCATTTTACATAGTGTCACTAATTCTAAGGACAGTCCCCACGGGCACCCCACCCTTGTACTTACTCGGAGGAAGCAAAGCTGTCATGGAGCGAGCATCAAACCTCACAGACTCTGTACAGCTCTTAGTGTCCTCCTGCTGATCCAGAAAGCTATCCCACTGGTCCATACTTCTATCAAATACGGGGAAAATATGTTAATTACATGGAATTGCTAGGGCCCTTTGGCGTAACGTTTCAAATTAAAATTGATAATTAAAATCCAATTTTAGCAAGGGAACAAGGATAACAATCTGCCCTATATAGTAACGTATTATACCCAGCCATAAATTTTCATTTTGACATTAAAAGACTTGTATGGAACCCACTCCTGCATCTTTCTGTGTAAAATGTGTACCTGTGATTACATGTGAGTGTTTTTTTAGAGTGAGAGAGAACTTTTCTTTCTTGGCTAAAATATTTATGTATATTTTCCCAAGTGGCAGAAAACAACTGTTTAGCTGAAAAAAAAAAAAAAAGAATTTCCCTTCAAACAAACAGTAGTGCAGAAGTTGGAGCAAGTTTTTCCTGTGATCTTTTGTCACAGGTTCTGGATAGAACAAATAGTGATGCAAAATTTAGAACAAATATTTCCTGTGATCTTTCATGGGAGCTTCATGAGCCAAGTATTCTTTTGCCAAGGCATCTGTTTATCCCTTTAGGAAGATAAAGTCTAGTCACTAGACAAGGAACCACAGGGAAAATGGAGTCTTCCTCTTCCTTTTTCTCCCTTTCATGACTTTTTTTTTCTTGTGTATTTTTCTTTCAGGGCTTCCCTTACTACATACATCGGCAGCTCTCAAATACGTCATTGTACCTTTTAAAGCACAATCCATAGTCTACGACACACACAATCCATGTCTATGTCTCTTTAAGATGCAGCAGAATCATCTAAAAGCCTTAATTAAAAACAGATTGATGGGCCTCACCCCCCAGTGTTCCTGATATTTACAGTGAGGAGCAGCAATTTGCAACAACTTCTCTAGAACTACGGCTGCTGCCAGTCTGAAGACCGCATTTTAAGAACATTTGCCGTGAAAAGAAATTCTGTGACTTTTTCTTGGAAACAGCTCCGTTCATTTGATTGATAAATTTAGCATGAAGCCAACATCTTCTGATCATTTTTTATTTTCTCTAATGCTGAGTTATGGATTTAGCACAGCTGAAGTTTTAACTGAGTGCAGGCGCAGCTCCAGGACACCAAATTCATCTCTCATCCAGAAAATGAAGGACAATCACTCACATGCAAACGTTCATCCTGCTTTGGGGAAGAGGTATTTATTGACAAGTAAGGATGTGACTCAACTCCCATCAAGATTTTTTTTAAATATTATCAAGGGGATTCTGTATTTTGCAATCTGCAGTTTGTACATGCATCATTCTGTGCACTGGTTTTAGTTTTTTTGTAAATCCTGTTGACCTGACTGACCCAGGAGTGTGTTGTTTAAATGATTCAGCCACTGTGGAGAAAGTGGGCAGACAGGGAAGTTATAGACCTACTTCCTCTTTTCTTAGGCAGAGGTAAAGTAAAAGAAATAAACAATTACCCGGGAACACCGGCCATTATGGGAAACCAAAATGGTTAATTCAGATCCATACTCTCCTGCCATTTCCCCCTTTTCAATTTACCCTATTATTTGACTTGGATGACAGCTTTTTGCTGGCTAAGCAAAACAAATGAACAATTTTTTAAAATGAAGTGACGATAAAACTTAGCTAAATTCACTTTAAAGCTATAGCTCAAAGGAATTGCGACTGTGGCAAGGCTTTTAAACTTTGAACTCAGTTTACAAAGGTTGGGCTCAAAAGTATACACTTAGACACCCCAGCCATATACCTAGAAACCTTTCCTCTCTGTCTGCTAACTGGCCCCATCTCCATGTGTTTGACTCTGGCTTGGGTTCCAATAGTTGAGATATTATGACTCTATTTTCACTTAAATACAAAGAAAACACCTCATATTACTCAATCTTCTAGATGGGAATATTTTTGTAAAAAAAAGGTGAAAGCTTTGAATCTGATAAATCTCTCTTGACTCTGAGCTACATAAGCGGAGGCACCATGTCTGCATTGTTCAGCATCATGTTACCAGAGCTGAAAACAACCTGGAATATGGAATATCTTTAATAAATATCCGTTGGATGAATGATCTGGTTTGTTTTGTGTGAGACAGTCATTCCATATAGTTTGTTTTTTAAAGATGGATGTTTGGAGATAAGGGGACAAAAAAGGTTTGTTTCTTCTGATGGATAACTTACTTGTAAATAGATTTTGTCCATAATTCAATTTTGTCCATAGTTTTTCTCTACATTCTTACTCTTTTGATACTTTCCTTGAACATGAAGCAAATCTTAGGGCCAGGTGATTATGCTAGGCTGTTGAGACACTGCCACTCACGCCAGCCTGTCCCTAATCAGCACTCATGTTCATTTTGTCAGTTCTAATCAGTGAGCAGCTATTGTATTCTCAAGGAAACATTACTAGCATTTTGGTTGGGACAGTTCTGTTTTGTGTAGGATTGTCTTCCTTGTAAGAGGATGTTTATCACCCCTGGCTGCCGTCCACTAAATGTCAACAATGTCCCCTAATCATTATATCACTGCTTCCCTTGCAAAAAATCCAAAAACGTCATCCTTGCACACTTCCAAACACCTATCTGCCTTTGAGAACCACTCTTCAGCTCTTCAATTTTAACTTTCTCTCTTCCTCTCTCTGCACTATTGGTCTTGAGTAATCTGACAGTTAACACGTCTTTGATAAAGATTTGTTTTCAAGGAAAAAATGTAATATCTTCATGAGCTTAAGCAACCATACAGATTCCTCAAATTGTTTTGGAGGCTATCCTTCAAATCACTCGTTGTGTGTTTAGCTCTTTAAATATACATATTACAGACCTCTGTCATAGCCTATATGAATGTTTTTTACAGAAAACTTAAACATTGTATGACTTTAAGGAGGAAAGAAAGCAAATCCAGAATGATAACCCACTGATCTAATCTTGGCCTCAATAGATAGCAGGATGAACGTTATTTTTATGCACACTTGCTCAGAAAAGCTCCACATGAGCTTCTGAATACATTCGCAATTTAGAACCCACAGGGCCTCCTTGGCTTAAAAACATTTTCTTCGGAGACAGAAAGAATCTCATTTTTTTAAAGTGGCTCTAGAATGCTAGATGTTACATCATAAAAACAAAAACAAAAAAATAGATGGCAAGTATTGTGATGTTTACAATCGATGACTTTAACTTGGAAACACCTGTCCCTTCATGTAGGCTAGTCCAACAAATCCCTGCTATGTGGCATGATGTCAAGCACCGTGCAAGCCTCTGGGATGTCTGAGTCAATATGTATAGAACACTCTCAACCACCAAAGATCCTATGCACTCAAAATGAAAGATGAAAATCTCCATGAAAAACCAGTGCAATATATACAGCCACAAAGCACAGGCATAGTCCAAAAAGGAACGATTAACTCTTGGGGAAGTGTGTAGTCAAGGTGAGGACGTAGAAAAGATGACACTTGATCAGAGTTTTGAAGAATGAGCAGGAACTAAGGGTGAGAATATACCAGAAATCTGGTCCTGCTCATGCTTTTCTGTTGAGAAGAGATACTGCACATGGTACTGAGATCGTGCATGGAGGACGGGGTTATTTTTCCCTGTTCATCCCTCCTCCTCTCCTGAACTAGTAACATTGTAGTGCGTCTGGTCTCAGTTCTTGTCCTCTTTTTAGATTTGTTCACCCCCTCGGTCATCTCACTAGTCTCACTGCTTAAAGCAGTCTGTAAGTCTGAGGACTCTCCCATCTTTATCTCCCACCCAGACTGCCCGTTAACTCCAGGCGTGTATATTCATCTGCCTAACATCACAGCCTGAATTTCTAACATGACCCACATGTCCCCCACTTTCTCTCATCCTCCACACTCCAATCTACCATCAGATCCTGTGAGTTTGTTTTCAGACCCTACGTGGAAACTGACGGTTTCCATCACCTCCCCTCCTGCCATCCTGGTTTCCCCATCATCTCTCTCCTGCCTCGTCATCATTCTCACCTGGACTCTTTTAATAGCTCCCCATTTGGTCTCTCAGCGTCTTTCTTATTACTCCCACTTTATTCTCTACACAGCCTCTAGAGTGTTTCTCTTACAAAGTAAGTCAGATCACGCGACTCCTCTACTCAAGACCCATGAACACCTTCCCATCTCACTAAGTCCTGACTCACTCGCTCACTTGCTCAGACAGACCTTTCTCCAGCATCAGATTTAAAATTGCAACCTACCTCTTTCACTTCCTCTTCTTCCTGCCTTGATTTTTCCCACCCAAACTCATCACCATCTAACATGAAATACATTTCCCTATGTACCTTGTCTACTGTCTGTCTCCTTTCACCCAAGGTAGAACCATGATTCAGGAGTTTTTCTCCCTTCGGTTCAATGACCAGAGAGTTCCTGCCACTTATTAGATGTTCATCACATACATAAGTATCTGAGAAGAAATTTCATAAACAAATGAAAGACAAAATATTTAGCAAGATAGCTAGATTTCCAAAATGTAAAAAATTCTTCTGCTACACATTGGGAAATAAAAGGTTTTTCTCTGAGTTGTGTGTACATAGGAAATTGAAACAAATCATTTCCCCCACCAAGTTCCCACTTTTGCCTCAAAGGCATTTGTTAGACTTAACCATAGTCCTTCAGTCCCTTACTCTGACTAGCAGAGTAATTATTTTCAGTCATATTAGAGAACATACCCCTGTGAACAAATGACAATCCAAATGAGCCTTACAATGTCTTTTCCAAAGTTAAGAGAAAAAGTAACTTCACAGAAAATGACAATTTCTTACCAAACATCAACGTACTGACAAAGAATTGTGAAATCTTTTGAGTTTGTTTAATCTATCAGAAGTAATGTTCTCATGAGAAGTGAAACACATTTCTGCAATATCAGCTCTTCACCAAGTGGGTGAAAAGTTTACAGAGGCTACAACAGAAAAACCATAATGAAAGAATTTCAGTGTTATTCTCTTTGGAAACAATACTCTATTTTTCCTGTTTTATTATAAAAACATTATAACACTATCAATGATAAATTGGGACAAAATCTCTATTTCTATCATTCTATCCCTCTAATACAAGAAAAAAATTGAGTATATTCATGCTACATAATTGAAACTACAGTGTACATTATCATTGGTCTTATACAGTTCCCTTAAAATCATATCAATATTTTTATACTTCAAATTATTTTTTCAAATTTAAAATGACAGGCTGCATAATAATTTATCACATATATATGTATCTTATTTATGTAGTCATTTATCTATAATATAATTTTTTTTTAAATTTTCCTTTTCTTTGGAGGGCAATGTTATAGTGATATAGCTGATGATGATGTTGTAAATACTTTCATAATTTAGCTCTCTTCATTTGAAATGTTTCTTGACGATAATTCACCATATGTTGAATGGCCAGGTGACAGGAAAACTGTCTTAAACTTCTTAGTATCTACTGACTGACTGCTCTTTAAAAAGATCATCACATTTACGAAGATTTCAGACATACATGTTTAAAACCAAATTCACCACTATTCAATAACAGGGTTTATTTTGGAACCGTTTACATTTTGAGAAGAGTTAAATGATACCTCAAAAGTAGCTTTCATTTTCATTTTTAAATTTTTAGTGTGGAAGGGATATTTCCATGTAATTTTTTATTATTTATTTTTTGGGGTTTTGTTTATTCATATCAATTGCTCATACATCCCCAGGGTATCATATCTATCTAGATATGAAAAAACTTTTCTATGTAACATATATTTAATGACTATTCTTTTTTCTAAGACTACTTCTTATTCAGAGTTATCATCAAACTCTCAGCATTAATTTCACTGTTAAGATTTGGGGTAAATAATAACTTTGTAACCTTATTATTTAAAAACAAATCTCTGATTTTGTGTGAACAGTTAAAAATGTATATGAAGTGAAAATTAAATTAACGTGTCTGTGAAAACAACAGCTGTCCACATAAGGAACAGAGCCATGCCAGGGTTTAAGGTAAGAAACAGAAACATATGTATTATCCCTGACGCTCATCTTTGGTAGCGAAGGAGAAAGGGCGTCAGTTCTTCCATGTGAGGTCTAGGCTTGACTGTTGGCTGTGTCCTCTCCTAGCTATGTGCCCTTTGGCAAATATTTTAATTTATTTGACTGTAGATTCTTTATATATGTATACATAAAATATTGTTATAATATCAATTTAAAATTATTAAGATGGTTAAAAATATTTTTAATTGACCAGTATATAGAAATGAAGTAGCATTATTTTAAAATATCATTTTTTAAAAAAATATGAACTTTCTTTACTTTATCCTCATAGCATCTCCATGAGGTATTTTCTCCATTTTATAAGGTTGGAAGAAACCAAGACCTAAAATGTTTAAGTGACCAGTTAACGTTACACAGTGAGGCAGTGGGGGAGCTGGGATTTGAATGTAGGCCGTGCACCACCAGAATATCAGCTTCTAATCACTGTCTAAAACATTCATCATTTTGGTTTTATGGCTTTTCTGGCACTACTCTCACATGGCCAAGGAGAATGCTAACCCCCGTTCTATGCTGTGTAAATTGTAACCATTCCTCAAGATGCACTTAAATTCAATTCTAGCATCTCCATGAAGATTTTTAAAAAATAATTCTTTCTCCCCTTGAAGGAATGTTGGCTTCTCCTGTATTCCCATGGTAGTTCTATTTATTTTTTGCATCCCTTCTCTACTTCTAGCTCAGTGAAGTGCCCACAGTGACTGCCAAGGCAATATTTGCTACATGAGCAATAAAGGTAATAAAAAGGACTAGGTTAAAGTCACAAGCATTACGTGACAAGTAAGAAGATGAGATGCATTAAAATACAATGAATCGTATTTTAAAAATAAAGCAATAATCTTAAATCAAATATGCACAATTATATACAAAAAACCTCTTGCTGAGTCAATGTACAAAATATACAGTGTATTTCAGATATATTTATGCACACATATACATTTTTTTACTCATGGAAAACCTAGCAGAAAGCTCTATTTTTTTTAATCATTCAAACAGGCAAATCAAATTATTAATGGTAGGTTAAAAAAATTCTACCAGAAAGTATTGATCATACATATATATATATCATATCTCACATACACACATCACACACACACACACACACATCAACACACAAAGACACAGAGTGGACATATATACTCAATAGAAGCAATTGGGGAAAACCGTTATGATAAACTTTCTTTACCGTGTGTCCCAAAGACGGCAGCACTGATTTATCCACTTCCCTCTCTTAACAGCTGAAACCTCAAAGCTTTATCACATAATATTTCAGCAGGGCATATGAAGAAAGGAAATGACACATTTGTGTGTTGAAAATCTTTCTTAACAATGTATTTCAATAGTACTCTCCTCAGTGCACAAGTTTGCAAAATCTAAATTTGTCAGAGAACTCATTCCTCTTCCTATCTAGGACATTACAAAAGAAAAAGAGAAGTGAAATGAAAAAGAAATGGGAGTTATTGTAACAGGGTACATAATATATAGCAGATGACTCTTCCTTTTTATAAGATATGTCTGCCTTCTAGAACATTCTCACATCATTTATCTTCTAGTAATCTCCTTATCCTCCATTAATTCCCAAGATCTCTTTTGCACTATGTAACACTGAGGGAAGACTTCACACTTAAGTGATTTGTTTTTCTTAATCCTTTTTCCAGTGGCCCTTATCTGTAGCTTCAAATGCGAAACACAGGAGGAGAGGATACAGACACTCACTAAGTAAAGGTAGTAATCCAATATTGCTCACTTCAGTGGTCTATACTGATGTTAGCATTATCTACAGGTCTCTTTTGAGCACCTAAGAAGCTGTTTATTTCCCCAGGAGTATAGTGGAGGGAAGGGGTCTTAGCATGGGATCAGAGGAAAGGAATGGCCTTCATCTTCTACCTCCCTCAGAGTTTTACCCTTCTAATCTCATTTATTTAATTACATTCAAGTTCCAGTAGGACACATGCTAAAAAAACAAACAAAAAGCCAAACAACATTACATTAATTAGCTAAGTTTTTTAGAACTAATTCCTAATTTTTCTGGGGAAAGGTGTTTAGTTTATATTCCATGGACACATCTTGGTGCTCCAAATAGGAAGGGTCAAACGTTCTACCAAAATATGGACAAAATGATCTCACCGTGCCCACGGGCACCACAAAACGCTATCCCCAGAAAACATGCCTTCTAGAGAGAATGCAGGAAGTATGCAGTGTTGGAAAGAAAGCAGTATCACACAGCCATTGTCGTTACTGCAAAGGCTAACAACACTAGTGACAGGGGCGCTGAAACAGCACAAATTCTGGCCAGGCACTTTTAGACAGGGTAACGGATCTCAGAAGCGGACCCAGGCGGGGCCAGCATGAGACTATTCCCTAAGCACACTAGTTCACCACATTCTTAGTGAAGACGAATGGAGACTAACATCCGAAGCCACTATTTCTTTTGTAATTGTTTCCCTACACATCTTATTATAGAATATGGCCCTTTGAGGGTCTTAAAAAAATCTAGAGTTCAAGAAATCCTTGGTAGATTGTTAAATTTGGATACCCCTGTTAATTCTACATGACTAGAAAAGTCAGACTCTGGAAATAACAAGCTAAAACACCGACTTTCCAAAATTCTATCCTAATGAGGTTTATTTCTGTCAGAGTGGGCTGTATTTCTAGGATGTCTCTATATTATGTAAATATATTTACTTCCACAACACTAACCACTTCTCTATTTGATTATTTCCACATTCCTCAGGCAATCCAACCATTCATTCAAAATTTAAAAAAAAAACCTCTGTGAATGTGTATATATCATATAATGTATCATATGATATTATTTATTAGGTCTTATATGTAAGATACCTTACCAGGCAATCCAGCAGAAAATGTTTCAGGGCAAGCTAATGATTAACTAAATTGAGAAAAGGGGGAGGGAATTAGTCTTGACATTCATTGCTTCATTTGAATTCACAGCAACTTTGTCAGGTCATTTTCCTGATTAAGATATTGAGGCTCAGATAGTAAGTAAACTTGTCAAGACCATAGTCATCAGAGCTGGTATTCAAATCCGATGAAGTCTGATTTCAAAACTTGGCAAAATGCACGTTTTTCTCAGTCTGAGAACAGTATGTGTATTCTCAGGAGCCTTTATCACAAATGCTACATTGAAAATGAACCACTAACACGGGCACGTTCCACATCTTCAAAATAGTTGCTTTCCCGTCAGTTATGCCCACAGGATCTCAATGACTTCATTTTTGCTGCTTGTAGATGTATTTGTCTTGAGTAAAGACTATATAATATTGTGCCTAATATTCAAATAAAGTTTCAGAATCAAAGAAATGGGTTGGAAGAATTGACTTGAGTCTCACAAGGCTCACTGTGGTAGAGACGTGCAAGCTGAACTCAAAGGAAGACATATTTTACACCCGTTAAGTTACACTTTTGAATGTCTAAAATTGCAACAGGTCATTACAGGGCACATGATACCATATATTTATGTGACACATTTGCAAAGATAATGCTTTTTCATATTTTGAACTCAAAATAATAATTATATAGTAAGATAAATACAAGTTTAAAAATACATAACAGACTAAGTCCAGCATATCTTCCTTTTGTTAATCTTATCAAAAAGTTTCTTGCTCAGCCACATGATTCTAAGGCGATGCTGGTGATTAAAATTTTAGAATTTTTGTAGGGTTTTTTAACTTAATTTACAATTTTGTATTTGCAAAATATATTTCTAACCAAAAGTTGGTTGAGAACTATAGACCTATAGAATTTAGGTCTAAATCTATGTTTCTGTGATTTAACATATAATTATAATAAAATAATATTTCAACACTCAGTGAGGTAGAGGGACCAATATATTTACTTTCCTTGGAGAAACAATGCACTTTACCATTCTGCTGGTTTTTAAAAGAAAGAAGAAAGTGCATGGGAGACTCCAGTTCCAATCCCAATAACTAAAGACCTTGGAAGTCCCTACATTAAGAAAAAAAGTTGAACAACCTGAAAATCAATGACTTTTTCTGGAACCATCAGAGAACTGAGGTCTCAGGGCAAACCCAACCAAATTTAGCAGGATAAATACATAAACTCACAGCTGCATTCAGCTTACCTGGAGTAGAAGCCACCAGAATCATAAACTGGTGAGAAGACTTAAAGCGTGATTTTGACGAATTGCTGGAGGCTAAGTGGGGACCAGTGTGTGAGTGAGAGACTCCTGGGGGCTGCTGCCTTAGGGAGACCCCCAGACTTCCTTGGGCTTTATGCCCGAGGAACCCACCAGGTTCTTACAGTGAAGAGGTAAGAAAAATCACCCAGGCGCCTCCGGCAGAGGGAGGGGGGAGTAACCATTTTTAGATACACCTGGGGCACTCTCCATAATGAAGCCTTACTCTCTAGGGGAAAGGCTTTATCAGAATCTTACAGCACCCAGGCAGCTGAAGGGCACTGACCCTACTACAACTGCCTTCCACCCAACTTAAGGGGGAGGGGGCAGAGAAGAAACCCCTGTGAGGGTCACAGTCCAGGGAGGAGGACCCAGGAAGACTGGGACTGAGCAGTTCTGGAACACTTCCCCTCCCCCACACCTTACCCTCATCCATGGGTTCCCGTGACCGCTACAGCTGGAAGGAGCTGCAGAGTTCTTTTTTTTAAGGGAACTTTCTAGAGAAACCCCAAAACTACAGAGGAGTCAAAAAAAGGGACACTGGAGGACATTTCAGTCTGTGACAGCTCCAGCTCCAGCAAATATGAAACAGCTCAACTCCTAGCCAGGCTATCAGAAAACTTCACACGAACAGGCCTATGTACCTCAGTTCCTACACCTGATAGATCACCTCCAGTTTTCTACAAAAAATAAAAAGTCACACTAAACGTCCAGAAAGAGGAGCCAGGCCCCACAAAATCACACACTCCTTGAATAGTCAGGGAAGTGGAGGGGGCAGAGGGTACAGTGACTAAGTCCCTTGCAAGTTTGGCCGTCTCCCCAGAGCAACAGGACCAATTCACCCCTTCCTTGTGATTCATGTCTTATTTAAGAGGCCCCAAAGTGCCAGCTAAGAAAAAAAGGAAATGCCAACTCATTTTTAAGTGCTGTTTTTAAAAACACGAA